CTGTTGTTTGACATCTAATGTCATCTCTTTCATCTGATCTACTATTTGGCTAAGATGTTCATTTATTTGCTGAAATCCTGCTATTATATTTTGCATGGTAGTCTGCCATTCTTTGTCTGATTCTTGTGCCACTAATTTTTCCAAACTTTGAGACTGGGCAAGAAAGGTCTCCAGCATTTGGTGCTTTAGTTTTCTGGAGGCCATTTCAATCTTTTCAATGAGTTGGGTTTGTGTAAATAATACTATATCCTTCACCAGTGACCAACTCTCAAATATACCACCTACTCTTTCAGAGGTTTCCACTATTTTATCAACAAACCAAACCCACCATCAAAAACCTCCCCCAGGATTTTCCTCCAATCTTCACACAGATGTTATAGTATGTAAATCAACTTTTAGCTGAGCAGTTTAAAATACAACCATGGTAAAAACATTCTTTCCTTCTCCAGAAACCTAACAAAGTTCTATTATCAGAGTCCCACACAGTCCAGCAAAAAAGTCCAAGCTAAACAGCAATCACAGGGTTTCAGTCTCTCCAGTAGATGTCCTTATAGCCCGTCCTAAAAGCTCATTCCTTCTTCTCCAGAAACCTAACAAAGTTCTATTATCAGAGTCCCACACAGTCCAGCAAAAAAGTCCAAGCTAAACAGCAATCTCAGGGATTCAGTCTCTGTTTCTCAATCTGATTTCCTTTTTTCTAAAAGCTTTAAGCCCCCATCCACTCTTATTCACTCTGGGATTTTTTCCAGAAACAAAAGATTTTTTTCCATCTCACTCTCTCACTTTTGGCCTTGAAACAACCTGCTGTTTAAGAGTCAGCTTCACTTTCAAGGATGCAGACTGGTAAACAAGCTTGCTGCTCCTTGCCTTCTTTCAGCCAAATATTTGCAATCTTTTCCCCCTCTTAGTGGGGCCATTCATAAATCAAAGGCTTCAACTTTGTTGTGTATTTTCAATGCCACATTTGTTTGTTCTCCTCTTCTCCAGGGTGGGTGGGTTACTCACAGCTGAGTGCCCGAAATGGCTCCCGCCTGATCTGTGCTCAGGGGGATCTCTTCCGAGGGAAGGAACACCAGGTTGCTGCCCAGCTGCCCTCACCTCTGCTGCTCACCATGCGTCAGGGAGACTTCTCCTAGTCTACCCTTCGGTTCCTCATTTCTGAAGGACCCCTAGACTGGGCGGTTCCAGCTTTTCCTGGGATCTATTCCCGGGAGCTGCCGGCAGCACATGACAAGACCCACCTTCCCGAGCCTGAGTTGTTTTAATGTATCAACAAGTATTACCAAATATTAAAAAAATTTAATAATGTAGAGTTCCTCTCTCATTTGAATAATGTAATAAACAGGAACAAAATACTTTTTAAAACAAGTAACAAAACACTATAAGACAGCAGTATTTGAGAAGCTAGGCCGTGGCGCAGTGGTTAAACT